ATATCGGACCATAAGTTTCCGATCTAGAACTCTGTCTCTGATGTAATGAATATCAAGCTCTATATGTTTCGATCTAGCATGAAAGACAGGGTTTGATGCGAGGGCAGCTGCGCTTAAATTATCACACCAGGCAATCGGAGGTTGTTTGAGATGAACCCCGAGCTCACCAATTAGAGATTGAAGCCAAGCAAGTTCAGCTGACAGATTAGCAAGGGCCCTGTATTCAGACTCAGCGGATGATCTCGCCACCACGGGCTGCTTCTTTGCAGACCAGGAAATCAAGGAGTCACCGAGAAAGACACAATACCCTCCGATTGATCGTCGATCATCTGGACAAACCGCCCAATCTGCATCGGAGAAGCCTTGTAAATTCAGGTAAGTGCTCGGTCTGATCAGTAAGGCAAGATCAGTAGTACCCTTTAAGTAGCGAAGAATTCGCTTGAGTGCTTGCCAATGTACATTGGTTGGTGAAGATAGGAACTGACTCAGTTTATTTACTGCAAAGGTTATATCTGGTCTGGTGTTGATTAAGTATTGCAACGCCCCAATTGCTTGTCTGTACAGAGTAGGATTTTTAAGTGGTGACCCCTCAAGCTTCGAGTAGTGCCGATTAACAACCATAGGAGTAGGAACAGCTGAGCAATTTGTCATGCCAAACTTGTCGAGAATAGACAAAATATATTTCCTCTGTTTTAAATATAGCCCTGTGTTATCTCTGTATGCTTCAATTCCAAGGAAGGAATGGAGTAAACCCAAGTCCTTAAGGGCAAAAAGAGAGTTCAAATTCTTAATGAACATTTCCATAGTTCTTGATGAGTTACCTGTTATCACTATGTCATCAACATAGACAAGAACAAACAAAATAAAATCCTTCTGTTTCATGAAGAACAAGGATGTGTCACATTTTGAATGTGTGAAACCCCAGTTGAGCAATGTAGACCTCAGTTTATCAAACCAAGCTCTGGGAGCTTGTTTTAGTCCATAGAGAGCTTTCTTCAACAGGCAAACGTGATGAGGAAATTTATGAGAAATAAACCCTTCAGGTTGTTTCATCAAAACAAGTTCATGTAAGTCTCCATTTAGAAAAGCATTATTAATATCTAGCTGCCTAATTTTCCAGCCAAACGTTACAGCAAGAGACAGTACAAACCTTAGTGTAGATGGTTTTAACACAGGGCTGAAAGTTTCATCGAAATCCTCTCCTGGTCTTTGTTGAAATCCTTTGGCAACTAGTCGAGCTTTAGGCTTATAACCAGACCCATCAGCTAGAGATTTGGCTTTAAAAACCCATTTGCAGTCTATAAGTTGTTTCTGACCATTATAGGGAACTAATTCCCAAGTGTGATTCATCATAAGAGCTTTATATTCATTCATCATTGCTTGTTTCCATTCGGTTGACTTTAAGGCGTCATAAACACTTGATGGTTCTCTGAGAGTAACTTCCCCTGTTGTCACAGCTCCTATATATGGTAATTTAGGCTTATGCACTCCTGCTTTACTTCGTGTGATCATTTGGTGTCTGGCTTGAGATTCATTTTCAGACTGCATTGTCAAAGGAGGCTGTAAATTCCCACTTCCTGAAGCTAAGGACAGATCAGTATTATCCGGTTCAATCAGTTCATTCTGTGTTTCTATAGGAGTCTGTACAAGAGGTGATTGAGATGGTTCTTCTGGCTCTTCTGCAGGAGGGCAAGAATCATTCTGTTGATTATCTTGATCAATGGGAACGGCTGGACAGACACTAGGCAGGGAAGAAAGAGCAGACTGGAAAAATGCCTTTGGATGCACCTCTTCATCAGGTAACTTGCTTCTATTCAAGAACCCTGTTGAGAAAGGGAAATCATATTCATTAAACACTACATGCCGAGAGACATAAACTTTACCTGTGGAATTAAGACACTTGTACCCTTTATGATTGTTGCTGTATCCAATAAAAACACACTTAGTGGTCCTGAATTGCATCTTGTGTTGGTTATAGGGTCTAAGACAAGGATAACAAGCAGTGCCAAAAATTTTTAGGTTCTCATAGTCAGGTAGTTTCCCTGTAAGTCTAAAGAAAGGAGAGATTCCACCCAGAACCACTGAGGGCAATCTATTAATTAATTCTGTAGCAGTGTGAAAAGCCTCCCACCAGTAAAATAGAGGCATTTTAGCCTGAGCCAGAAGTGTCAAACCAGTTTCCACTATGTGTCTATGTTTCCTTTCAGCCCTTCCATTTTGTGGAGATGTGTGAGGACATGAATGTCTGAAATGAATGCCAAAATCTTGTAGAACTTTAGCAAACTTCCGGTATTCACCTCCCCAATCACTTTGAACAATTTTAATTTGGCTTTCAAACTGTTTTTCAGCAAATGTTTTAAACTGAATGAACATGCTTAATGCCTCATCTTTCGTTTTCAAAGGAAAAATCCAAGAATGTCTGCTATAGTCATCAACAAACAGTATATAGTACCTGAACCCATTCATGGAAACTAGAGGTGAGGGACCCCAAAGATCAGTATGTATCAATTCAAGTGGTTTGGAGGCATGTGAAGTAGAAACTTTAAATGGCAAGGAATGCATTTTACCGAATTTGCACGATTCACAAAAACTTGGTTCATTTTCATTACTAGGGGAGATTTTCAAATTACATTCGGTGATAATTCTATTCAGAACTTTGTCACTAGGATGACCAAGCCTACAATGCCAAAAAGTTCTATTGAAAACTTTAGATTCAGATGCTGAATTAACAGCTTCTTGTGCAACTAAAACTAAGTCTTCTCCACTGCCACTGGTATCATACTTTCTCTTATCCAGAATCTGAAACATGCCTCCACTACTTGGTTTTCCCTGCAACATAGTCCGACCTGTTCCCTGAGCCTTCACAGAAACACCACTAGTGTTAAAGATAACATCAGCTTGATTGTCACGAGCCATTTGATACACACTAAGCAAGTTCTTTTTAATAGCAGGAGTATATAAGACTCTATTCAACTTAACTTTCTGATTAGTAACATTTTGAATAGTTGAAGAACCAATTTTTTCGACTCTTAACTTAAAACCATCTCCAACAGCTATGTTCATCTTACCACTAGGCTCTGAAGGATTCTCAATCTTACTGATATCATTGGTGACATGGCTAGTTGCTCCACTGTCTAGGTACCAAGAATCATCATTAACCACTTCTGGAGTAGCCCAATAAGCACTGTCCAAGTCAGTGTAGGAGTTTCTGTTTATCTTCCTGCTACCAGATGGAACAAATGATCTATCATACCGATAGAAACAATTTTCGGCCATATGACCAGTTCTTTGACACAGCTGACACTTAGGAGGACCATCACTGTTTGAGTTACTGAATCTGCCATAGCCACGACCATTCCTGCCACGTCCTCTTCTTCCTTTGTTACCTCGGCCACCACGCCAATTATTTCTTGAAAATGTACCTTCAGATCTAGGTGGAAAACTCTCATTCAGTCTGACATAGTTAGCAAACTGAGAAGGAATTTCAGAAAGTTGCATGAGTTGTTCAAGTCGGCTCTCATAAGTAAAAAGTTGAGTCTGTATTTCAATCCAACTTAATTCATCAGCTCGATTTGAGAGTTGCACAACAATAGGATTGTAGTCTCCATCCAATCCGGCCAAGGCTTGAACAATTAAATCTGGCAAAGGCATAGGGCTCCCAGCTAGAGATAGTTGCTCAGCTAGATTTTTCATTTTAGACAGATATTCATGCATCTTCATGGAGCCTTTACGAGTTCTCTAAAGTTCAGACCGAAGAAGGAGAAGTCTGGACTTAGTTTGAGCCCCTGCAATCTGTTTTGCTGCAAGCCATAAACCAGCTGAAGTAGAAACAGAAGTCATTTCTGCAGAAACCTCCAATGTCATTGTATTGAGGAGCCATCCAAACAGTAGTTGATCCGCAGCAACCCAATCCTCAAATGCCGGATTCACTTTTGTCGTTGTTCCTTCTGTAATAAACTGAGGAGGGCAGCACCTGGTTCCATTAATAAAGCCTTCCAGCTTATGACCCTTGATGATGGGTAGCACATGGATAAGCCAAAGGGAGTAGTTGAGCCTGTCCAGCTTGACAGACACAGATTGGGACAGAGGACTGTTTTTTTTCAGTCAACTTAGCCAGCAAAGAAGCAGTGACCACAGAGCCATTAGGTTAACTACCAATGACGAATCCCAATACCTCCAGTGAGTCACCTGTGAATGAGTCCAGCCGAGCTGATGAGAGCTCTGATACCAAGTCAAAATTGTAATAGGCAAGTATCTGTATAATAATGGCACACCCCCCAATGGAGTTTTCTATTCACTTTTATAGGTAGGGTAAGAAACCCTAGAATACAGGAGATGTATACACGTGCCACTGTACAAAGAATATACTAGAACATTGACAGCTGTAAGAATAAAACAAACACTGGACTTTTAGCTATTGGGCTAGCGTCGACTATTGGGCTTCATACTTATATATTGTTGGGCTTCAGACTTGAAAGGACTTGAGACTGATCTTGTAGTACTCTTAACACACCACGACCCTGCCTGACAAGTGACAACCGAGCTCGGGTGCCCAAGTGTGAATCCCCTCGTCTGGTAATATTTTAAAATTTTTTATGGATTAAAAATTAACGAAATATAGCTGAACAGGTAGATATCATATTATAAATATGAATATGAACATGTAAGCTTCAAAATGATGGGAATTCCGAAGGCATGAGATTCTAACAAAAAGCGTTGCTTCCACATGAAACAACAATCTTAATCTTATATAGTATTCGAATGTTATCGATGAGACAACGGCTGAGCCACGAGAGGTAATCCATCCATCCAGTTACGATGACAGATGCAATGAAATGACAAAATTGCCCGTGCAAGTTTACCCGGGATTAACGGTATTCTCGGCGAACCAGTTCCTCGCTTTCCCAGTTAAAAAGCAGGAATGAGCAATTCAGTCTTTTCACTGCTAGAAGACAGTTGGTTCAAAATCCAGGGAAGCCAGAACTTTGGCGGCTTTTGGGGTGAAATCCCAGATTCCCCTTCCGAGTCAAGTCCTTCCATTCCCCACGCAAATGGTTTTTTATTGGGTTTTTCTGCAAGACCGTGTCTTGAAAATCAAGGCGAAACGGCGAGATAAGGGTGTTGCCTACGGTGTAGAAAAGAGAGGTCTAAGTTGACAGCTCGCGAGTTCCCGCAATACTTGTTGCGTTGGGAGACGGAGTTATTCCCATCTCCGCTGAACAGAAACCTTTTCCCCGTACCTTAGTTGAACTCGAATTCCGATTTAGTCCTGCTCTCGATTGTTAAACTGCGTTGTTCTTATTCCCCGTTTCATTCATTTTCTCGGGAATCTGCTGTTCGGGTTCATCTCTGTAAATTTTAATTGCTGCATCACGTCGGAGGTTCTCTACTTCAGAAACCTGAAATTGCAGATCCGCGAAAGGTGGGCCAACAATCTTCTTATGTATTTCACTGATAACTACTCACACCTGATAATGTGGCAGCGCATAATTACCGTTAACTATTCGATCATGTTTTTTTGTGTGTTAAATTTTCAAATGCGTTTGCCTTAGTAATAGTAACTTAGCACTGCTTGTCTGATTACCACGTCTGCGAGTAGGAGTCCGAGGCTAGAAATCCGGTTCGTTTTTCTAATAGGTACGTTCCTGATATGTTGCGAATTGTTATGGTTGAAATTTCATATCATAATGCAGGGCCGGGCGATTGAATCAGAACAAGTTGTTTCGTAAAGTTACTATTCAATATGGGAAGAGACTTGTTGGACACGATCTTCATCCAGAAATGGAAGCGCTCTTGGTTTTTCGTTGCAACCGTTGCTTCTATTTTGGCATTGGTTTCTGTGATACATCTATTCTTTCCCCTGGCACCTTCTTTCAATTATTTTAAGCAACAGCAGAACTCTTGCCTTCCCACTAATTCAGCGGCTGAATTATCAAGCACTGATGTCAATGAAAATTTCGAACCAGCAGTCGATTTGAAGCATCAATTTCCATCTGACTTGCATGGAGCAGTTGTTTATCGTGGGGCACCATGGAAGGCTGAGATAGGACAGTGGCTTGCGAGCTGTGATTTTGTTACAAAGAAAATCAACGTTACTGAGGTCACAAATGATGTTTTTTACTCGTATTCTCCACTTTTGTTTAGATTCTTGTCCCATCTTTCTGAGTTGCCAGTTTCTTTCCCAAGTGGCTGCGACGAGTTTTCATGCTTGTCACTGTCATGCATATGATCTCTGCTTTTGAACGCATTTTGAATTCTCAATGATTTGGTTCGTAAGCAGATAATAGCTGCCAGCGACTGCAAAAATGACTGCAGCGGTCAGGGTGTTTGTAACCGAGAATTGGGACAATGTCGGTGCTTTCATGGATATACTGGTTTGTTTAACCTCCCCTTCTTTTATGATTCTAACCTAATGTATAATGCTTAATGAGAAGCATATGGTATTGATATTTACCATTTTGACAACCCGGGAGCCTTTGTAATACCATTTATTAGTTCCCTTAGTATAACGAAAGTAACAAAAATTTGCGTACAGTAGGACACTATTGTTGATCGACCACCACTCCCCCCCCCCCCAAAAAAAAAAAAAGAAAAAAGAAAAAAGGGATCTCTTTGCACTGTCAACTTCCCTCCTGCATAAAAAAGAAGATAAAATAAAATTTGTATAACTCAACCACCTCTTTTGCTATATTTCTTGTCATTGAATAAACATTAACTAACATGGCATATGGGTTAAACTGTGATTCTTTTGGTGATTATTATTTCGCTATATGACAGGAGATGGATGCGCTGAAAGATTAAAGTTTGAATGCAACTACCCAGGATCGCCAGATCAGCCATTTGGACGGTGGGTTGTCTCAATTTGCCCGGCTAACTGTGACAGAACAAAAGCAATGTGCTTCTGTGGAGAAGGCACAAAATATCCAGATCGTCCGCTGGCAGAGACATGTGGGTTTCAATTTATGTATGTAAAATCATATTCTAACTTCAGCTTTGGTTTGCTAATTTTTTCACCATGCGCCAATTAAGTTATACTCCTGACATCTGTGTCAGTCCATCTTCTGAACCTGGTGTTCCCAAACAAGTTGATTGGGCCAAAGTTGATCAGGATGTGTTCACAACTAATAGTAGTAAAGAAGGATGGTGTAACGTGGACCCAGCTGAAGCATATGCTCTCAAGATAAAATTCAAAGCAGAATGTGATTGCAAATATGATGGTCTCTGGGGTCGATTTTGTGAAGTGCCTGTGCAATCGACTTGCATTAATCAATGCTCTTTGCATGGTCATTGTCGTGGTGGATTTTGTCAGGTAATTCTTTTGTTTATTAAAATGCTTGCTATCTTTGGCGCCTGATTTGGTTACTAGAATTAATAATTTGTCACCCGTAGTTTATCTCTTAGCACTGAGAATCATATGGTGACATACGTTTGAATATTAAAGATGCTTAATAAGAAATTATTATTGTTATTATTATTACAGAAATTTATTACAGAAAGAATTAATAATACATGTTTTGCTGCTTCTGACCATATAGCTTTGTATGAGAAATTTAGGAATGTAGTTCCAGAGGAAAATAAACATGCAAGGCTGAAAAGAAAAAAGGGGAGAATGGGCACACACAGTTTGTTACAAATGGAAATGATAACTAGAACTGGCACTCTTGTTTTGACTATGAAAATCTGGTAATTTATCCGGATAAAATCAGGACTGAAGCAAATTAAATCTGTAAGGCTCCTGTGTCAAGTTCGGAGGGTCTGTGGTTTTTGCTGTCATTGTTGAGAGTCTATAGAACTAGGAAACCTCTTGGGCTATTTCAGGTTGACTTTAAATTACACGTATCAATGTTCATCATAGCACATAATTTTCCTCTATACCTTTAATTACTTGCCATCCAATCTTGGTAGATCAACTCAACTAGTATATATTTCAGTGTAACAATGGCTGGTATGGAGTAGATTGCAGCATTCCATCTGTTTCATCTTCTATAAGAGAGTGGCCCAGTTGGCTCCGTCCGGCTCAAGTTGATGTTCCTGAAAATCTTCATTTTGAAGGAAGAAAAGTCAACCATAATGCCACCGTGGAAAAGAAAAGGCCTCTTATATATGTCTATGATTTGCCTCCAGAATTCAACAGCCTGCTCCTTGAGGTCAGGATTCTCTGAGCATCACTCTTTTTAACATCCCAGGAACAAGCTTGTTACATAAATTATGTTTATTTGTTTTCTTTGCCTATTATAGGGGCGCCATTTTAAGCTTGAATGTGTAAATAGGATTTATGACGGTTCTAATGCTACAATATGGACAGATCAGTTGTATGGCGCCCAGGTAATTCATAAATTTAGATCATATTTAAAGCGTTTCAGTTAGTGAATTTATATTTATAATGTATTGCAATATATCATCTGAGTCTGACGTTGCTTATCCTCAGGTAGCACTTTACGAGAGCATCTTAGCTAGTCCTCATAGAACTTTGAATGGTGAAGAAGCAGATTTTTTCTTTGTTCCAGTTCTTGATTCATGCATCATAACTCGTGCTGATGATGCCCCTCACTTGAGTCTGCAGGTAGAATTTTTCAGCTGTTGTTTATTTTTACCAGCATATATCTATCTGTAATTTATTTCTTCGTGCAGGGCATGTGTGTGAGACAGAGTGCAATGAATACGTCAGCATAGTGGTGCCTGCGCATGTTAATTGTTGTTTAAAAGGTTTAATGAATTGCGTGTTTGTAGTAATCAAATGATAGTCACTTTCCAGATATCTATGCCATGATGAGGATGAATTTGTTTTCATTTATTTACATGAGTAGTAAAGTAAAAATTCATTACATTTGAATTTAATATTCTGTTTCACCTATTAAGAATGCAACTTGTACTGTTGGGTAAAGTAGGAATAGAAATGCTTTTGATTTTTCCTGCATTTTGTTTTATAATCTTCAGGAACATAGGGGGTTGAGGAGCTCTTTTACATTGGAATATTATAAGAAAACACACAACCACATTGTCGAGCAATATCCTTATTGGAACCGTTCTTCAGGAAGGGACCACATCTGGGTATGAGTAACAAGAATAATTTTTCCGAGCGTTGAATGGAATTTAGGGAAGTAACGCTAACCTAGTGTTTTCTGGTGATGAAAGTATGCTAATGACGTTGCTTTTATATGTTAAGGCAGTTTTTTTCATGGGATGAAGGTGCTTGCTATGCTCCCAAGGAGATATGGAACAGCATGATGTTAGTTCATTGGGGAAACACAAATGTAAAGCATAACCGTTCAACTACAGCTTATTGGGCTGACAACTGGGACAAAATCCATCCAAATAGGAGGGGAAATCATTCTTGTTTTGATCCTCATAAAGATCTTGTGCTTCCTGCTTGGAAAGTGCCTGATGTTGGTGCATTGACTTCCAAACTGTGGGCCCGGTAAAGTTTTTTTTTTGAAGGAACTAATCATTACTTCAATCATTTGCTTTATTTATCAGTGTATTCTTAAGTTCATGACTAACAATGCAACCATTTTATGATTTGTTTCCAGGCCCCATGAGATGCGAAAGACACTGTTCTACTTCAATGGGAATTTAGGACCAGCTTACCCTAAAGGAAGACCAGAGGATTCGTAAGTTAAATGATGAACTCTTTTGGAATCTCTTAAAAGATTGTACAATAAGGCAGCATCTGATTTTGTGTTAACAGCATTTCTCGTTTCCTCTCTCTAGTAACATTGGCTTCCAATCAGTTGATTCTCCACAGGAGATTTTGATACATAGTTTCCCATATAATAAATTCCCAAAGATGCGATTCTGAGTTTCTTGGAAATGATGCAGGTATAGCATGGGGATCAGACAGAAACTAGCAGAAGAATTTGGATCAACCCCTGACAAGAAAGGTTGGCTTGGGAGACAGCATGCAGAAGATGTTATTGTGACCCCATTGCGTTCTGACAATTATCATTTGGATCTGGCAAGCTCTATTTTCTGTGGAGTGTTGCCTGGAGATGGTTGGAGTGGACGCATGGAAGACAGTATCCTGCAAGGATGCATTCCCGTGGTAATTCAGGTAATATATCAACACTGTTCGCAAGTAAAGGGGAATAAGATAATTTTAGTTTTTTTTTGGGGGGGGGGTGTGATTCCTTAGAACTGAAGCAGCTTGTCTAAGCTTCGTCATTTTTCATAAATCCATTTTTTTCCCCTTCAGAGTTAATTACCAAGTGACTGAAAATATCAAATACTTGCATGCTTTTGACCATTTCCCCCCTGGCTGTGTAGGATGGTATTTTCTTACCGTATGAGAATTTCCTCAACTATGACAGCTTTGCTGTTCGAATATCTGAAGATGAAATCCCGAACTTGATAAAGATTCTTCGGGTAGCTTCTCCTCCACAATCTTTCTAGATTTTCGTTAATGGACAATTTAAATCAAGAATTTCACATTAAGTTGACATCCTACATTCTGAGTTTTTGGTGGTCTCTTGCATCCATTAGGGATTTAATAATACAGAAATAAAATTCAAGCTGGAAAAAGTTCAGAAAATCTGGCAGAGATTCTTGTATCGTGGTTCTGTTATGCTTGAAGCTGAAAGGCAAAAGACTACTGTTGGGCATGTTAGTGATTGGGCAGATGAATTCTCAAACTTGATGGAAGATGATGTCTTCACCACTTTCCTACAGGTACTTATCTGACTTAGCCATATTACATTGATAAATGTTGCACCTCTCTACAAGGTGTCTGTCTCCAGTTTTCAGGAAAGTCTAAATTTATGTACTTGCGGAGTAGCAAGAAGTCTTCTAGACCTCCCTTTGGTCGTTTTTATTTTGTAGGCATTACTGTTGGAAGTTGAAAATGTGAGGCCCGTTTGAGCAATTACAACATTATGTGCTACAAAGTGGAAATGATTTTACTATTGCAATTTGTCTCTAAATTTATGTGTTGACACCTAGTTTTTGTTTTTAATCAAGGTTTTGCATTACAAGTTACACAATGACCCTTGGAGGCAGCAAGTCCACCTTAACAAGAAGTATGGATTGCCTAAACAGTGTGTGGCAAGCACCAATATGGGGTTTAATTGATTAGAAGGCTAGATGATTATCAAGGGTCTTTCAGAGGAAAATGGAAACTGGATGGCCGTTCTGCTTTATCTGAGGAGTTGAGATTCAGTAGACACTCTCGGCGTGCGTAAAACTGGGTCAGAGTCAAGATTCTATTTGATACACTAGGATCTCCAATACAATAATATAATTCAGCCAAGGTAGACCAATATGATTCTTTTTCCCCCTTTCACATAAATATTTTGCATGTAAAATGCATTCGCCTCCTTGTTTTTATAGCCGTCTTAACTCTTAAAGGCCTTTGTGCCCCGGAATGTAAAGAATGTTTGTTGCAATACCTTATTGCTAATATTGAGAAGAGAAAGGTAATCACAAATTTGTTTTCATTATCATGGTTAGTGGAAAAAGTCTTACATACATGGTGTTTTCTTTTTGGGGTGAAGATAGTGTTTTATTTAACAGTAAAGGGGCAAGGATGTATGATACCAAAAGTACGAAGGCATCGGTATAATTTTCAGGTGTGCTCGCAAGATTATCTGCCACCAACTCGCTCTGTATCTAACACAATTGAGCTGTCAGATTATAACTGAACCATACCAAACCTTGTTTCGCCTTTTTATGCGTTACTGATCTGAACTCATTCAAGTGGGCGACGAGGGCGTTCTGATTTCTACTCTTCTAATTATTTATAATAATATTCCCGTGACTAAAGTGTAATTCTAAGTTCTAACGAAACTTTTTAATGCTATTATAATTGTGTGTGATGATTTTATTTTCTCTCAAGCGCTATTCTGTTTGACTGGAAGCAAAAGCAACTGAAAAAGGAACAAGGAAAAGGGAGAATGAGGCAATGGTCATAGTCTTCTCATTCGATTTTCCTTTCCGGAAGGAGAGGCTATTATTTTCAGGTTAGATGGAACCGTATTCCACATCAAAATCGATGGAATCTGATCAGATAAAAAAAGAAGAGTATTCTTTAATTAGATAAAATTTTCATATAATGATTAAAGTATGATGTCTTCAGCAGGGGTTCCATTTATTTTAAATAAGATTAATAGTTTTCAGGTAGAAAAATAATACTACCTCCAATCCTAAATATAAAAGCTAGTTGACTAATTTGAGTATATTAAAGAAATAAGTTAAGTTAGTTATTTGTAATAAATAGGTGTTATTTTTTCTAAAATATCCTTATTAATCAAGTTTATTGGTTAGAACTATCATGATTAGAAAGGTTATTTTAGGAAAAAATAGATAAATATAAGAGACAAAGTAAATTGGGGTCTTATATTTTAAAAAAAAAGCTAAACGAGATCTTATATTAAAGATCGGAAAGAGTATTATGGTTTGGAAATTTGCGGATGAACATGTCAGATGAGAAAAACTAACATGATGTCTGATGATACTTAAATTTAATGCAACGATGCTGCATATCACATCACTATAAAAAATACTCCTCCGGTCCTAATTATAAGACCCAATTGACTTATTTGAGGAGATTAAGGAAGTAAGTTAAGTTGGTTATTTATAATAAATAAGTGTTGTCATTCCTAAAATATTCTTGCTAATTAAGTATATTGGCTAAAACTATCATTATTAGAAGGATTATCTTGGAAAAAAATGCATAAATATAAGAGACAAAATGGATTGGGTCTTATAATTAGGACCAAATAAAAAGTCAAATTGGGTCTTATAATAAGGACCGGAGGAGTATTGTAAATAAATTTTGTCATCCAACGAAGAAGTTTTAAATAAATCTTACACCCATATGATAATTCAAAATTTTTAAAACTGTAATTATTTTTTAAAAGAATTATAGTTCTTAATCTGTAAAATATGCCAAAACATGTCGGAAAAACTGGCAAAATTGTTACATGGAATTAAAAAAAAAAAGCATTATAAATTATAAACATCACGCGTTGGTAAAATTTAATATTTTTAATAATAACAAATTATATTTTTATATTAATTTTAATATACAAAATAACGAAAATAAAATAACCTCCCGATTTCTGTCTCTTTCACTTTTCTTCTTTAGAATTTGGAAACCGCAGGCCCTCGTGGAAAGAGAATCTAACACAAGGCCTGGCCTTTTCTTCGTTTTTTGACTTCCCTATTCTTAAGCCCCAACTGTGATCCCTGTCTCTGCCTTCTCTGCCTCCACCGGCCGCAATGAGCCCCTCATCGCTCGCCCTCCACTCCCATTCCGTCTTCGCGCCTCGAACGGGGATTACGGTCCACCGCAGGCCTCTTCTTCCTTGCCAAAGCGGCGTCGTTTGCTCTGCGAAGCCTGCTGTTTCCTCTACTTCCAACCTCAGCGTGTCTGGCCCCGCCAACATTGATGCTGTTGGTCGAATCGGGTCCTTGAGTCAGGTATCGGGTGTCTTGGGTTGCCAGTGGGGCGATGAAGGCAAAGGGAAACTTGTTGATATCTTGGCCCACCACTTCGACATCGTTGCTCGTTGCCAGGTTTAGTTTTACAACTCACTGACGGTCTTCTTCTATAAAGTTTCATACTTTGCCTCTTTTTTGTGTACTGGAATTGGTATTGGGTATTGCGAGTGTTGATGTACTGATATGTAAGGGGTTCGGTTCCATTCCCTGGGAAGTCTATGCATTGCATTCTTGTGAGTTTTATGAATTACATGATGTTGGAAATTGGTCGATTTGGGAACATATTGACTGATCGGATTTGCTTACGAGGTCCTAGCCTTGTGATATTTTCCCTTGTTTCTCAACTTGGTGTCTGTTTTTTATCTCTTAATAGCTTCTGCTCCATGTTCCTGTCTTATGAGTGTGCTTTATTTTGTCCTCATGGTTTTTCTCTATCACATGTAATCAGGGCGGGGCTAATGCTGGGCACACCATTTATAATGCAGAAGGAAAAAAGTTTGCTCTTCATCTTGTTCCTTCTGGTATCCTCAACGAGGACACTCTGTGTGTTATAGGGAACGGGGTTGTGGTGCATCTGCCGGGGCTTTTCAGAGAAATTGATGGACTTGAGTCAAATGGAGTCTCATGCAAAGGAAGGATTTTGATATCTGATCGTGCTCACCTACTTTTTGATTTCCACCAAGAAGTGGACGGACTGAGAGAAGCTGAGCTTGACAAATCTTTTATCGGTACTACCAAGAGAGGAATTGGACCTTGCTATTCCAGCAAGGTTATCCGTAATGGCATTAGAGTCGGTGATTTGAGACACATGGATACTTTTCCTCTGAAACTTGACGATCTTTTATTAGACGCTGCATCAAGATTCAAGAATTTCAACTATAGTGTAGAAATGCTTAGAAATGAAGTTGAAAAGTACAAGAGATATGCCGAGAGACTGGAACTGTTTATTGCCGATACCGTGTATGTCGTGAATGAAGCTATCTCACAAAAGAAGAATATTTTGGTTGAAGGAGGTCAAGCAACCATGTTGGACATTGATTTTGGTACTTATCCCTTCGTGACTTCATCTAGCCCCTCTGCAGGTGGAATTTGCACTGGTCTTGGTATTTCTCCAAGAGCTATCGGTGATTTAATTGGAGTGGTATGTATATACATATTTATCATTCCTTTCTTCACTGTGATATTAGTGTTGATAAACGAGAAATGTGTCTCTTTTTAGTTTTTATCATTTTATGCCATAATTTAAAAAGGAATTTGTAGTCGAGAAACTGTGTTGTTTTGTTCCTTATCATTATAGTACTGATCTAATCTAATTCTGATCATTTAAACATACTTGACATGGGCATGATGGTTTCTTAATTTTATTTTTGGCTGTGCAGGTAAAAGCATACACAACTAGGGTAGGTTCTGGCCCTTTCCCGACAGAACTCTTTGGTCAAGAGGCTGATCTCCTTAGATCTGCTGGGCATGAGTTTGGAACCACAACTGGCCGTCCACGACGGTGTGGTTGGCTTGACATGGTTGCATTAAAATATAGCTGCCAGATTAATGGTTTCTCATCATTAAATCTCACTAAGCTTGACGTTTTATCTGATCTTGCTGAAATCAAGTTGGGAGTCTCTTATAAACATGTTGATGGTACGCCAATGAAATCATTTCCTTCAAACCTTCGCGTCCTTGAGCAATTGCAGGTAAAGTTTCCTTGTCCATCTCCGTAGCTTATAGAACTGTGTGCTTTTATTTGATGTCATCACTTATCTAACAGCAAAATGTGAAATAATCACAACCGCGATATAGTGCACTGATTGCTTGGGAATGAAGTATTTTCTTAACCACTTCTTGTTATGGGATGTTTTTAGGTGGAATATGAATCACTTCCTGGATGGAATAGTGATATTTCTTCCGTTAGAAACTATTCTGACCTTCCTAAAGCTGCACGCGATTATGTGGAAAGGATAGAAGAACTTGTTGGTGTTCCTATTCACTACATTGGTGTTGGGCCAGGACGCGATGCCCTCATATTCAAATAAGTTGATATGGATTGGATTAGTGTCTAGGGGGGGAGCTCTTTTGAATTTCCATGATCCTACTAGCAAGTTGAAGCTTTTGATGTTAGAATTACATATTCCAGCTAACTTAGTTTTGGATGAATACAAATACGCGAGGTTTTAGCCTCCTTAATTTTGCAGTGTTCTTTGTATTAGCATTGCTGAGTATTGATACTGCGCAATAAGTGTCCTCTTTTACAGCGTTATTCCCGGGGCAGAACTTGATCAGCTTCGGAATAAGATGTGGTGTGTGAGCCATGTCGTGGCACCGAAGTCCTAAAACTTGTACGTAGTCTGGCGCATGCAATGGAGAATGACCTTATTGTTTTTTTGTGAGCCAAGTAGTTCTTGTGGTTGCTTTCATTTGAACTTCTTCCCTGTTTGTATTATACAATTATATGTTTTACTTGTTTTAAAATATTTTGTGAATGCTGTGACTTCAAAAACAGTTTTTCTGGCCCACAAAAGCGGTTTGATATACAGAAATTTAAGTGAACTTGTTTTATTTGTATGTGTTTCTTTATGAATATCCTCAATGTCTTAACGTGATGGCTGTTTGAGTGAGGACAATTTTGTCAGATTGGGAGAAACTTGAAGTATTTGACTTCCCGGCTGCAAGCATTCTGTTGGCACAATAGTGTCAGGTTAAATAATTAACAATATATTTCGCAAAATTAAGAAATTAAATCAAAATCTTGAATAAAGCTGAAAAGATCAAGAGTATATTTTTAGGGAGAATAACAAAAAAAAAGTTGGAAATTATAAATCCCAAATCAGGTTTGATAATACAATTTTATTTGGTATTAATAAATCTGAATTTGTAAATGATAACAAATTTTTGATGATATTTCTTGTTTAATATTTATAAAATTCCAGTTTCTTTTGTTTTCATTGTCCCATATTTTTATCTTTTCTAAAAAAATAATAATTTGAAAAGGTAGGATATTTTCTTGTGATAATGCCGTTGAAGGCCCTAAAAAAAAGATAGTGACATTTTGAACCCATATAAGAAACTCTTCCGCAGACTTAGGACTGAAATAAATATAAATGTATTGGAATAAAAAGTCCAAAATATTGCTGAAACAAAAAAGATATTATTCCGTAAGTGATAATTAAGTGTTCAAATGTTGACATCAAATTATTTAAATTTTTACAAGTAACTGCCCTTACACGACATTGTAACTGTACGAGATTTTTGTGGCATTCTTGTTATTCCTGAGGGTGCACAAGTATGTCGTTGTATTTGTATCCGAGCATAGGATGGGATTAGATTTTGGAGTGTTTGGATAGAAATCAAATTATAGTTTTAAAAGTGCTTTTACAGATTACAAAATAAATATATAGAGGAATTTGTTTCATTTTACGGAAAAGTGTTCTGAAACCATAATTTAGAAGTTGAGAAACACCACCTCTAATTTCATGTGTATGTGTATGTGTGTAAAACGGCGCGCTCAACAATAGTGCATCGTCCCCAAGAAGTTTCGGCGGCCCTCGTAGTTCCTTCTCGTCCGGCTATCCTAACCCGAGCAGAAGTGAGGAACTGCAGCAGCAGCGGCGGCAATGGAGAAAGGAAACTCTAAGAAGAAAGCATCAACTCTCTCTCTGGAGCAATTCATCTCACTCATGGCTCCTCTTATTGATTTGGAAAAGGTACTTTGACTTTCTCATCCCTCTCCATCGAATCTCAATCAAACACATACTCTACGTTTCTTAGGTTCCTTTCCAATGCCAGATGGGTCTCTCTTTGGCTCTTCTATTAATCATTGTAGAGTACCCTCCTCTTGTTGGTGCTTGAATATTATGGGACAGTGTAAACTGCAAACTCCTCAAAAGCTGCAATTATAGTTTTGACCTCTTGGATACCTGCTTCCATATTCTTCCATCTGCTATCTTGAAATCACGCTTTAGCCCTGTATCTTGAACAATCTGATTGCGAATGGACATCCGATAATAAGTATAAGAACAAAGGATAAGATTATGACTTTAAAAGATTTTTCTTTTTGTCATCACTTCAACGTAGTAATCTTACTCCTCATTTTCTTTTTCCCCTTCTTTTCATGTTAATGGTTTAGGAAACTGAGATATCAACCTCAATCACTTCAGGCGCGTCGAGAAGTTTGGATACTGCTCAGAAAAGGGGCTCGACAATCCTCAATTTGAAATGTGTTGATGTCCAGGTTAATTGCTTTTCGGTTCATACTTTTATTTTGAGACTCGCATCCTTCTGGCTTGGTTTAAAGTTACCAGACATTTTGTTGATTTGAAAATGGAGGCATGCCCGAGGGCAAACTAAGTACAGTATATATACACATACGTTCACATATAAAAAGAATGAGAAAGAAAAATTAGTATCTTATATGGATTGTACTTGATCTTTCCTTATTTCTGTGTAGAGATCTTAAGAGAACCAAGGAAGAGGAACAAATTTTACTAGTTAAATTAGTGAAAATTGGAGCATCAATTCATCCAGTAGTTGTTTACTATGTTTTTGTTCTGATAATAGACGGGGCTTATGGGGAAATCTCTTATTGAGTTCCAATCCACCAAAGGAGACGTTCTTCCTGCACACAAGGTAACGAACTGATGGCTCCTGATGACGTGCCTTCTTATTCTTATTATCATCTAGTTTTATTTTTATTAAGTGAGATATTTTATTAACAATCTATCTAAAAATTTGTTTTTGATAAAGCTTAATGACGTAGTGCGACCTGATCCCACCGAGTGGGATAAGTCTTTGTTGTTGTTATATCATCTAGTTTCATTTTATTAGTCTTATATGAATTGAAGAGGTATGTGCTTTTAGTCTTGTATGAATTTGCTCCTGTGGTACTTCTTTTTCCCCTCTCTTGCCAGATCTGCTGTTCTATCACATCCATGTATTTACCCAACTTTCTGTTATAATCAGTACATATAGTTGCATCAAGTATAATGTGACTGCTATATATGACAAATTTTACACATGCTATAGCTTAATGAGAGTAGCCCATTTGTTGGCTGAATCCTTTCGCTACTACTTTCAGGAGCTAATGATTTCTTGACATTTACAGTTCAGTACACATGACGTTGTTGTTTTAAAACTCAGCAAGGCTGATTTAGGTTCCCCTGCTCTTGGACAAGGTGTAGTTTACCGCTTAAAGGTAGCTCTGATCACTTCAATTGATGAAAAGGAAATCATTGCCCTATAGTTAGCTGCAGATGATCTCGCTATTGGACACTACTTACAATTGCAGGTTTGATATGTGTACTTATAGGACTCCTCAATAACAGTTGCCTTTGATGATATACCAGAAGATGGTTTAAATAGTCCCCTCAGGCTGGAGAAAGTGGCAAATGAGGTACAGTTATAATTTTGAAGTTTCATGGATGCTTTTTATATTTCCTATTATCTAGAATCATTATGCTATTTGACTAAAAACAGAGCCAATTCTTGACTGACTTCTGTTTTCCACAATTCCTTATAGTTTGTTAGACCAACAAATTTCTATCACCATTTTAAACATTATTAATTGAAATTTTTATAACTTCTCAGGTTGAAAATGCTAAATCAGGGTACTAATATTAACTTTTGTGCTCTACATTTTGATTGAATGATTAATCTTCCTCTTCCTTATAAGCATTTTTTCCTGTAACTTTTGTTTATTTTGCGAGTTTCTTGCTCCAAATATTTTAATTGCTGCAGATATTTATCGATCGTGCAGGTGACATACCGCAGGATGAAGGATGCATTGGTACAGTTGAGTAAAGGAGTGCATAAGGGTCCTGCTGCTGACCTAATTCCTGTCTTGTTCGGAGAGAGGCCACCAACAGTGTCCAAGAAGGATGTGTCATTCACTCCATTTAACCCCAACCTCGATCACTCTCAGGTGTGGAAGCCTAATTTCTTGCGCTATTATTTTATGTGATTTCTTATTGTCTTATTGGATTTTGGGTTTCATACCCTATAAATTGGACAGTCATGTCCACTGCTAAGAAAAACTTAAACAGATATCAGTTGGATCTCTTCCATAGACAGGCCAAAGATGTTTTCAGTTGGTTCTCTATCGAATCAATTCATGGCCAATGATTAAATTTTACCCCCCCCTCTCCCAACAACAACAAGAAGCCTCATTACCCTAGATGGAACTGGCAACATGGATCATACTGCGCTGTTGTCTAGTAAGAAGAAAAAATGGTTAATCAACTAGTTAATTTTCCTTTTATAATTACTCAGGAATTGGAGAGAAGCAAAAACTGTTATTGGGAAGACCATCACACATGATACAGTGCTTCTCAAACATTTTAAATATTAAGTGGTTTCAGTGTATTGCAGGTCTTACAAGTTACAATAGATTGGTCATAGGAAAAAGCCCAATTGACACAGTATACATGATGTTTATGGTGTTTATGGGTAAACAATTGTCTGCTTATGCTCACGAAATTATTTATTTCTGAATTTTCAAAGAAAGGTGCAATCTCGAAAGCCCTATCGTCAAAGAATGTATTTTTGCTTCATGGGCCTCCTGGAACGGGAAAAACGACCACAGTGGTGGAAATCATATTACAAGAAGTGAAACGTGGATCAAAAATTCTTGTTTGTGCCGCCTCAAATATTGCTGTTGACAACATTGTTGAGCGACTTGTTCCACGTAGGTAATGATTATTTTATCATCTCTATGGTTTTATTGATTAGATGGTTTTATGGTAGGACTCTTCTGACGATAGTGTGGCTTACATTTGATAACATTAAATATTAAATGACATACGCCAATTGGAAATGGGAAAGTTACTAACTTTGTTAAAAATAATATGCCTTATATCCTTCCCAACAACTTGATGAACAAAAGCTATGCTCTAAAAATTTGATACAATTTTTCCCCTTTTACCTTCTATTTATTCTTTGTTCGTGTTCATTCTGGGGTTTGTTCTCCAGTTGGTTTGACTCAACAAATGCGTTGATGTTGAATATAAGTACTCATTCCTGTTTTATTGCTCTTTGATTAGAGTTAAGCTGGTGAGACTGGGTCATCCTGCACGTTTATTGCCTCAAGTACTTGACAGTGCACTGGATGCTCAGGTACAGAATGACCTTAACCTTAGAAGCTAATGATTGAATGGCTTCTTTGTAATTATTTTCTCCAGGATATCATCCAATCGGTCAAATGCAGGACTGTTTAATTATGTGTTTGTGTTACCCTTTGTCGAGTATTCTGCTGTTTCACTTGGTGTGATTGAGGATACGTATGAAAGCCATCATTTTTTGTACTCATAATGTCCCGTCTCATTTTCAGTGTTCTAGTTTTCCTATAATTATTCATTGATTCGGGCCTTTAAACTTCATATGATTACTCTTCTGCATGTCATGGATCTCAAGTGATTTACTTTAGTTCATCACAAATTGATTTGCTTCATAATGCTACCCTCAGTTGTTGGATTTCTCTATCTTAGGTACTTCGAGGAGACAATAGTTCACTTGCAAACGACATTAGGAAGGAAATGAAGGTAATGACTTTAAACGGAACTGAATGAGAATGATTTGTTTAATTTGTTCTTCGTGTAACTTGTATATTAATATAGCATGAAGTTAAAGTTCATTTTATCATTTTGATTCCAACATACATATATTTCATGATGAACTAGTAAGATAACTTTATGTAATACCTTTTCATAGAGATGAATAATTTTGTTCAGGCATTAAATGGAAAGTTGTTGAAAACTAAAGACAGAAATACAAGGAGGGACATTCAGAAGGAACTGCGAACTCTGTCCAGAGAAGAGCGGAAAAGACAACAGCTTGCTGTAACAGACGTAATTAAAAGTGCTGATGTGATATTAACCACTTTGATCGGGTCTTTTTCTAAGAAGTTGGATAACACTTCATTTGACTTGGTAATTATTGACGAAGCTGCTCAGGCACTTGAGGTAGCTTGCTGGCTACCGATACTGAAGGTAATTTTATAAGGCAGGTGCACAATTTTTCGCAAGTAAAAAGCTATTACTATCACCTGTGTTTTGTTTGGGTGAATGTTATTTTACTTCTTTATCTTTTTTTAGTGATGGTATGTCTTGTTGGTGTTTGAAAATTCATACAAGCCACCAATGATCCTCCAGTTTGTAGTGGCACGCCCAAAATGGAAACCTTAGAGTGATGGATTGAATATGGATTGTTGGCTTTTGAAACAACCGTAAAAATTTTACAAACGAAAATCATGTCTCAGATTTAAGAGGATAGAATGATTGTTTCTAATTATCGTGGAAGTGGTAGACACTTGGACAAGATGTCAGCAATAAGAATCAGAGATCAAACTAGACTGAGTTGAATGTTTAACAAGGGGATACCATTAATTGTGATGTAGTCACTTCTACAAGAGAACAATCTGTTTGGACTGACATATGTTATGCTCCACCCGAGCTCGAGGGAGCATTAAAAATGCAGAGATTTGCAATCATTAAATTTTTATTCTGATCCTAACCAATTGATTTTTTCAGGGTTCAAGATGTATACTTGCAGGGGACCATCTTCAACTGCCCCCAACCATTCAAAGTGTTGAGGCCGAGAAGAAAGGATTAGGACGAACCCTCTTTGAACGACTTGCAGATATGTATGGAGATGAAGTCACATCCATGCTTACTGTCCAGTACCGCATGCATGAACTTATCATGGAGTGGTCTTCTAAAGAGCTCTACAACAGCAAGGTGATTGCATTTCTGAACTGTTTTTTAATACCACAGACACAAAATTGAGCGTTCTTGAACTGAATTGTAGGCTCCTATCAAAAAGGAAGAGGTAAAAACAAATTCCATTGTATTTTAATGATCAATAACAGGTCAAAGCCCATGCAAGTGTTGCTGGACATATGCTGTTTGATCTTGAGGATGTGAAGAGGACCTCTTCAACTGAACCGACACTTCTTCTCATAGACATAGCTGGGTATGCTGTATTCGTCAATATAATGTAGGATATGCAAACATATTGTAGTTATTTCCTCATGTTCGATGAACTATAGATGTGACATGGAAGAAAAGAAAGATGAAGAAGATAGCACCATGAATGAAGGCGAAGCTGAAGTTGCCATGGCCCATGCGAAGAGACTTGTGCAGAGTGGTGTTCTTCCTTCTGATATTGGAATTATTACCCCGTATGCTGCACAGGTATAAATTGTTCTATCTGAACATCTGATAAATGTTTTGACAGCTTCTAGAAGGGATAAAGTTAACCAGCAGCGTTGCAGGTTGTTTTACTCAAGATGTTGAAAAACAAGGAGAACTCCCTGAAGGATCTCGAAATTTCAACAGTTGATGGATTCCAGGGAAGGGAGAAGGAAGCCATTATTATATCAATGGTTCGATCTAATTCAAAAAAAGAGGTATTTAGACTGTGTCTGTTGGACTACTATTATTTATTATATTAAATCTTACGTGACAATTTAAATTAGCTTGACAACTAGATTAATTTCTTTGAATACATTTTTCAGGTGGGCTTTCTAAGTGATCATCGCCGAATGAACGTGGCTGTGACGCGGGCGAGGAGGCAGTGCTGCCTTGTCTGTGACACCGAAACTGTCAGTTCTGATGGATTCCTAAAGCGATTGATTGAGTATTTTGAAGAGAATGGGGAGTATCAGAGTGGTTCTGAGTATCAGAATGAATAGGCTTACCCCCCCATGGTTGAGATTTCTCGATGCTTTATGTCAAGATCAATCTGTTGCACAGGGAGATGTTGCTAGTAGGTCTACAATGGTTTCTCGTATCCTCCTTATGCTTGTATGCGGAATGCAAGAAAGTTGATTAATTTATATAAAATCATTTTTTTTGTTTTCATTCTTTATTTACAGCTTAAAAAAAAAACCAAAAAACCATGTGGAGGTAGACCTTTTTTAGGTTCAAGTCTAAGCCATCGTCATTAGATTCATGTTTTGTCCCAAAAAAAAAACCGAAAGGATTTGGCACAAGGTGAAGGTAATATGACAGTTAAAACTTGAATTTTCTGAATTCACATCCACAAAAAATGCCAAAAATAAGTCAAGATATTACAAACTACTAGTCAAGTTATAATAACATTGTCTCTTCATTCTCTTCCACGATAACTTCTAAAATGAGCTCCTTTCTCTCCCTAGTGGATTTATGCGCTAGATACTTTTCTTATTACATGTCTAATAGCCAATTAGATCTATGTAATCAAAAGATGAGCAGAAATGGTGGAAGTAAAACCCGTAGCATCTGATTTACTGATTAAGTGGCTTGCTGAGTACTGATTTCTTACCAGCTTCGCTCATTAAGGTACAAAAAGGAAGTTATTTCCTCAAAAGTTCCAAATGGAAGTGGAGAAAGTAAGATCTTCATTCATATCATATGCTTGGAATGGGCTGTTTCGAATCCCTGAGGATCTACTATACCATGCATCTCGATCATTGCCTCCCAATTAATACTGCTGTCAGAAAACACTCCAAGTTGTTCCCGGCAACCATTTTTTGAGTAGGATGTTATCGCTAACTCAGGGTATCCCAACGTATCGGCCAGACTAATCCCAGGGTGCCTCGTCAGGAATCGAGCCCATGACCTGGTAGGAGAACGCGCCTTGCGCTCCCGTTTGCGACCAGTTGGACCCAACCCTTGCAGGCTCCCGGCAACCATTTGATAAAGCTTCAGTCTCTGTGAAACTTCCTGAACCATTATAAGATCTTTGTGATCGTCTTTCTTCTTTCAGTATACCCAGCTGTTGAAGAAGCTCATGGAGGTCAATCTGGGGTTTTTCCTCAAAATCTTCGACCATGATATTTGTTGATATTCCATCGCTTTGTTCCTTTGGAGGACTATCAACATTTTTGCTGCCTGTCATCCGAGCATCTGCACTTGGATTACTGGATGAACTAGAAGAGACCTGACTTAAAACCCCTTTCTACTCAAGTTGTTGTAGCCTCTTATGGATTCAAGGGCCTGTTTGTTTCAGCGTTTCAATGGGAGAAAAGTAGCTTATTGAGCCAAAACGTACAATTGTGCAAGTGGGATGAAAATTGGCGTGTTTGTGATGGCGTTGGAGCAATTCAGCTTTTGGATGAAAAGCCATCATAAGCCATAAGTAAAAATTTGAAGCTTATGACTTTTAGAAAAGTGGAGAGAGAAGATTGGAAAAAAAAAAAAAAGTTGGAGCCCATGTCTTTAAAAGAATTTATCTTAAATCATATTATACTATATTATATTCAAACTTAGACTTATATTCTTTCTAGTACAAAATATAAGTATCAAAATTTTCATATTAGTATAATATATATACACTAATTATTAATATAAAAGCTAAATAACTAATTTGTGAATATTTAAAAAAATTAATTAAATTAATTATCACTTCATTATTGTTCATTTTAAATCTTATGAAATAGATATAGTTACGACTTCCAAACACAAGCGTATATGGTATACATGGTTTGTGCAATAATCACCATTCATAACCTTATAAGGAAATATTCAAGTTCCGACACTTTTTTTTAATCATGTTTCACTTTATATTTAAAATATTTTTTATGATTTCTTTAAAATTTTAAAATTTAATTCACTCATTAAAATTGACTTCTTCATAATAAATTATTTTAATTTCATTGTATTATGTGAAATCATTTTTTTATCCTGTTCCATTATTTATTAAAACTCATACACATTTTAGTTATTTTACAACCAAACTTACTTTTACTTATCTATAATCCAAACAAGCTTTTACCAATCTCACTTTTGCAAACTAGTTTTTCTGAACTCCAATCTAAACACAATTCAGCTTATCTAATTTTTTTTTTGGACTGAATCAGCTTATCCAATTTAACTTTTACTAACTTCACTTTTTCATAAGTTACTTTTTCAATCGTTAATTCAAACGAACCCTAAGTCAACACTAGGGTGGACATTTATATTGAGGATTCCATGAGAAGGAGACATTGAAAGGAACTTCTTGGAAGGAAACCATGTGAACTTCTGAGACGTCCTAGCAGAAGTCGAGGTTGGTCGAAGGTGAGGAAGATTGAAGTAGGCACCAGGACCATAGAGTCTCATGGCAGCTTCATCAGCAGTGGCAAAAGAACCAAGCCACAGCCTGGTTCTCTTCTTTGGCTCTCTTATCTCAGTAACCCATTTGCCCCACGTTCTTTGTCGAACACCTCGATACTCACAAAGCGTTCTGAGGGCCACCCTTCCCTCTCGCAAGCCCGGCCCCTTCTTCCATGGCTTCAAGGGAGAGTTTCTGCAAGTTCCCATTGTTGATATTAGGGAGAGTTGAACAAGGCAAAGAAAGGTTATCGTTGGAAGTTCCGAAGAGGGAACGAAAGGCGCGGGTAAGTAGTAGCAAGAGAAGAGTTCAGTATAAATTCTGTCACGTATTGCGAAGTACCAAAGCTCATGTGACCGTTACGTAGTGAGCAGTCAGACTGTTCCAAATCCTAGATTTTTTCCCCTTAATAGTTGACAATTTTAGATGTTATCTCTGTTAAAAAAACTTACAGGACAGCATAAACTTGTTGAATTTTTTCAGCGCCTAGGAAACGCAGAGACCTCTTAAGAGATTAAATGTTGAGGTGGTAGCAAAGATAATTGACAAGGCTCTTGCGAAGTCGTGATGTGGGCGCTCTGAATGAACAGAAACTCATCCTTGGATTCTATGAAATTGGGGTTGAAATTAAGTGGTGATCTAAGAGAAGAGAAGTCACCTCAAGCATTTCCTGATTTCACGAGCTACATTTCACATGTTTTGTTGCGATTCACGACCTGATTCCCGAGAATCTCTTCAGCTCTTTCCCATGTATGATTTTACATTCTTATCATTGAATTGAAGCATAGCAAGTAATAGATTGGGGATGATCATGACGATGATGGTAAGGAAGGTAAAACAAGTGCTTGCTTGGAAAACGGTTTCAGAAATCTGTGATGAATTCCCTGAGAGAAGTATAAGTAGACGAGATGAATCACATGCATCTGTTTTTAGTGTTTTACATAGATATAACAGAAATTTGTGATTTGTGATGCGAAAATATTAATATCATATAATACCTTCCGTATTTAATATAAAAGCACGTTTGATTTTTATTTTGGTCTTAAATAGAAGATCTTAATCCATTTTATTTATCATATTTATTCCTTTTTTTCTTAAAATAGTCTTTATAATAATGATAGCTCTAGTTAATACACTTAATTAATAAAGATATTTTAAGAAAGACAACACTTATTTATTACAAATAACTAGTTTAATTAATTTTTTTAATCTACTCAAATTAGTCAACTAATTCATATGTTAAGAACCGGAAGTAGTACATATATAATATTTTAAATATTCTTACGGGGAACATGACATCCAATGTTACAAGCTATTTCCCTTCTTAATTATGGTCTGTCTATCTGGCTTATAAAAAATGTTATATTTGATCTAATGAATAAATTGGGAAATGCCATCCTATTCAATAATTTTTGCATTGGTTTGATTGATTATCGGTCAAATCAAATTACAGAATAATTTTATGGATAAAAAACAAGCCACACCCAAAAAAAAAAATGTCATCTCCAATATTTACATCAAAATTAATTGGAAGTATAAGATATTATATATCTGTAATAGGGAAAAAAAAACAGTTCTTTTTGGCCAACAAAAAAGGTACTCCTTCGTTTCTAGATGTAAATGGGTCTTACATCTCGAAGGGAGGAGTACCTCAACTTTTAAAATAGTTGCTTATCAAATACGAACGTAAAGAAACATATTTTTTCAGTGAGCAAATGACCACCCAGAGCTCTTTGGGTTCTGGAGTAAAATGTTTTGACCGCGACAATGCCCTCTGTTAGCCCTCTCTTGCAGCATCTCGCAGCAAACAAGCACGGAACACGATTTGTGGGATATACCTAATTAGGGTTTTTATACAATTTCCAATATATTCAGAGACATACAACAATAATTTGCGATTGACATTGAAGAAAGGGAAACTGAATCCATCAATTAGTTCAAGAAGTCAAGTCTAAGCATCCACCTCGATTAAGAAAAATGGAATTCAACAAAACACAAAACATCTTTAATAATTATACATATTCGTTGAATTGAAAAGACTTAAATCCAGCGATCAAAGCCTTGCAAATTAACGGCGGAGGGGCTACCTGATTGGCCTGAAGATGGAACTGAAAATGGAGAGAGCGGTCTGTCGGAAAAAGTTCTCAAGAGTCTCAATAAAGAGGTTGAAACTTCGGATCGGCGGCAAGTACAAGGTGAGAAGCGCGGCGGAGCAAGCCAGCGCTAGGTAAAGTTGCAGCATTTCCTTTTTCGTCACCGACGACAAAAGGAGCCTCAAAAAGCCGCGGTGAGAAATGACAAAAGAAGGTTTTGCGCAAACAAAAATGAAATGGCAAAAACTGGAGGAAAAAAAATACAAAGCTAATTTATTTGAAAGGTTTCGATGAGAATTTCAATGTAGTATTAAAATGCTAGGAAGTTAGGGACTGTGAAGTGTTATTTTTGTAATGCTTCTTATCTGATAGACCTTTCGTTAGAAAATAGAAAATGAAGCCGTACGGATGTGGAACAATAGTTATAGTACGGCATGCGTCCATCTTAAGTGGAGGTCGATGCTGTTGGTGATCTTGTTCCAGTTTGAGATTAATGCTCCGACAGCCAGTCCATGTTCACTTGACAAAGACACAGGTTTCAAGTTTAACTAGATAATAAATCCCAATTCTTGCATTATTTAAAAAGAAAAATAATTTTTTTAAAAAAATATAACTATCATTTCAAGATGAGGAGTGACTCATTCTCCATCCAACCCAGGGTTTCTCTATCCAATGTCATCACTTTTAATGAATGATTAGATTTTTTTTTTTTGGTATTATATGAAATCCAGTAAACAAGTCACGTTATTCTTAGATATGTTGTTATAGACTTTATGATATGCATCAATTCATTGAGAACGATGACTCAGTGCCTTTCACTTTTGAATGTGCAATTTTGCGTGGCGGCCATGGAATTTTTTTTTTTTTAAAGCACCGAACCTAACACAGTGACGCTACGTCAGATATTATATTTAATATTTTCAACGGAGAATAAGATTCTCTTACTCCTTCCAGTTGTTAGCCAAAGGAACCCAAAAAGAGAGAGAGAGAGAAGAAAATCATAGATCACAGAAGGATTCATCAACTGCTTAAACGGGCTGAACACCAAACGTCCTAAAAGATAAGGTTTTAAAATCTTGAAGCGTGCGCATGCAAAAACGAATAATGCAAGTTCGCTTTGAATTAGGGATAACGAACTGGGCATATAAATTCCAAAGTGAGGTGATACGACAGTGACGGGGCGGTTCCTTTGGAATAATGTGATCCGAGAGAATTTTACCAAAACTCGATTTAGAATGGAGGCGGAGCCACTAAACAAACAAAAGAGGTACAAAGACAAAACCATTTGTTAATGTCAAAAGCTGCCCAAGGATAGCGATATCTCGAATATAATTTTAAGGAACCACAACAAATTCGCTTCAATCCCGCCACCGAAAGCTACCAGATGAGGTTCTTCGGGATTAAGCCCCTCTTTTCTTGTCCACCTTTTATTTATATCCTCCTTTACACTAAAATTCCACCTTACCATTGAGCAGGATGGCACCAGGTCGAGAAAAGCCACTTAAATAACAGCCATAAATACAGAAGTCAAGGATTACCACGTCATCATCAAAATTGGCGCGTTTTCAAACTTGATCATTATATAGACACATATACGTGGAAGCGGATTTGGTATAAATGCATCCTGCAACAACTGGAAGTTTGACTGAAAATGCATTTCCGTCATTCCATTACTACAACAAAATCCTTCGTACCTTCCGGCCAACAGACAGACTCCACCCTTACGGTCCCCCAGCACCACAGGTTATGTTAAGCTTTCCTGTCTCAAGATAATGATAATGATTATGTTAATATTTCCCCTCTAAATCAGAGACTACTGAGTTGGTGTATCAGAGGTATTCGGTTAAAACAAGTGTTACAAAAATATATAGCAATAAACCGTATTGAGTTACATGACCCAATGGATCAACCTTCCAATATTCCCTAATCTACCGGCACCGTGGCATCCACAATTCTGGATTCCATGCCACGAGAGAAATATCAGATGCATCGTCCTGTACTTTCATCCCCAAAACTGGGCCAATTTGGAGTTCCCAAGAACTTAACTCTAATGACCCTTGGTAATTTCTGTTTCCTACCACAAAAATATGAAGGAATAAATTTCTTAAAAAATGCACCAAACTTAGGCATTAGGCTCCATCAGAATGGAACCTTATCTCACGGCGCAAGAAGAAAAAATGACCAGAACATGAACCTAAAGATTCAAAAGCTCGTCTGGATGTTGCCCAGTGCTCATATTTGAGTGCTCAAATTCTATCCCTCACTAGTGTATGCACCCCCCGCAACACTTGACACAGCTGTTCCCAATTTCTCCTTAATCTCAGTTGGAGATTCTTTCACAAGTGACTGCACCCATGATAAATCCGGCTCCTCGCCATTGCTACCAAACTCGAACGACGATGATCTGCGGAGCTTGCCCAAATCATCAGCATTGACGGCCCAATCCAATTTACCATTGGTGGATCCCCATTCTGACCAAGAACTGTCATTGAAACCAGAAGCAGCGGCAACAGCAGCGGCAGAGTTGGAGCCAAGATCCCGAGAGCTAAGGCTACGAAACTGCTGCTTTTCACGTTGAGCTAGCACAGAAAGCCTAGAGCTCATCGGTGAGATAGGTTCCACATTACGTGGAGACATCCTGCCTGACGTTTGGAACGAGGCCTGTAACAAAGGGTGTTCAACATTCTTGGAAGAAAAATTTGTATTCACAGGTGAAAGCAAGCTTTGTTGCTGCTGAAATTGATTAAGGAGAGCTGATTTATGTTTGGGTGAAAAGACAGCTGAACTCAATGTTTGATCAGCAAACCGAGGGGAAGAACTCTCAGCAGAAAAGAGATCATCAAGATTTGATGGGGTCAGGGTCTTCATCCGACCAGATCGGTTTAGGCTATTAGAATTCATAGATTGCTGGGAAAGGCAAGACATCTCATTAAGAAGCTGGTGCTGCTGAATATCATAGTCAGGCAACACGTCAAAGTCTTCCACCGGGATATCTCTAGCACTGAGTGAAGATCTCAAACGACTGGAATGAATATTACTTCCCGGCAGATGCAGGTTTGGAACATTAGGTTGAGGCCAAGCAACAGAAGAGTGTGACATGCCAGTGGCAGACGGTGACATGGGTGGGGTGAACGGTGAAGGAGACATAACAGACATTGAAGAAGGGGAGCCAGGTAACATGCTCATGGCTGCAGCAAAATCCATGGCAGAAGATGTGCTTGAGCGTGGTGATGGAACAGCAGAACCAGTTGAAACATACAAAGGCCGAAGTTCCTCAGCTGTATGGGCAAAGAAACAAACTCTTCTTGAACAACTGGTCCCATCCTTGCAAAGGCGGGTCCGATACTGAGCTGGGTGCAGCCAGCACTCAAAAACACCATGAGCATATTCACACATATCTCCTCGACGGCAAGCTCCTTTCCGAAAATCAGGACAAGGGACACAACTATAATGAAATTTCCTCGGGTCCCTTCTCCGAGCATTTTCCCCTGGGTGGACAAAAGGGCATTCAGTCCAATCATGTGAATATGCACGTGAACATGGTCGAACCTTGAAAGAATACATTCGGAACTCATCAGTTGAGTAGATGCTGTTTTTGATGTCAGGAAGAGATGGATCAACAGGATATTCTTTCTTCTCAGATAAAGCGTTGGCCTCCTTTAACTTTAGCTTCAAATGGAACTCTAGTGCAGAAGGAGACCCATTCTCTGGAGAAGTTGACGGAGGGGGAGAGTTTGAATTTGTTGTAGACGTTACCACCCTAAGACCACACCCTGCCATGGAACAATCTGTTTGAAGAAGTTCTTCAAGAATACTTTTCAAATGTGCATGCCTGGGAGGTACCACAATAACATCAACAGGATAGTGACTATCAGCATCGACAGCATTAGGGTCAGCGCCAGCTGCCAAAAGTAGTTTCACCACATCAACAGCATTTACAGCACCACCTGATGCCGCGCAATGAAGGGCTGTGCTTTTGTCAAGCCCACATGATCGATTAATATCTGCATCAGATGATGAAAGTATCACCCTGATAACATCAATGCTACCATAAGTAGCAGCCACCATCAAAGGTGTCCGGTGCTCGTTGACCATTTGCTTTGAGCCCTTCTGGCGACCATACCACAGTCCAACCTCGTCAACAGAGGAAGGATCACGTTCAATTGATCTTTTGAAATGCTCAACGTCATTATTGGCTGCAAGGTCAAGCAGGTTTGCAAAACTATCTTCAGTTTCCACAGTCAAGTGATTCATCTTCCCGTTTCGAGTTGGAGTGTTGCTTGACAAAATTAAAGACGCTGCTGGAGACGGTGCTAGCTTTAACCACTCCAAATCACAGCACATGCTTTCATTTGCAGGAGATTAAGCTGAACAAAAAAATAAAGATAAAATATAAAATTAAGCTGTTGAAGTTAAGTCCCGTTTTATGGACTAAGATGCAGGATATGATGTATTCGAATGCATGAAAACCCTCCCATACAGTGGTAGCATATTAAAATATTTGACTTGATGCATCAATGGGATATTATCAGAAACTAAGACCATGTAATTGAAAAATTACAATAAAGCAGACGAAGAAAAAGGCACGATGCTCAATTTCAAAACCTCTCTCCATTTTTAGTCGATGACTCTGTACTAGTTTTATCCTGCAGAAACATCCCCCCCTCATGATATACTCTACTTCAGAACATCGAGCAGCGTATATACTCTAGCACTAAAATAGCCGCTAGAAATTAGAAAGAAGAAAGAATCATATCCGTATAATGAAAACGAAATAGATCGTTCATCAACCCAAGGAGACGGAAAGCGAACGGTCGTGGACAAAGGGAGAAAACCAAACTATCAATGAAAATTTCAGATTTTCAGAACTCCAGCAGTGGAAGAGTATCGCTCCGAGACTTTCTTTGACTCGTTTTTTCCCCCGTTTCACATGGCACCGAGTCACAGAGAAATATACAAAATAAAAATTAAAAACAGCTTAGAATCATGTAAGCAGACAGAATCAAGAAAAGGAAAAACAAACCAAATACACAGCAACTGCGCATATCGGGGGTACAACGATCTCGGGTACTGATAAGAAGCAGGACTAATTCTGGATCACCCTAAAAATGAACTTTCTGTATATCCGTCGCCCTCATTTTTCGACAATATATCTCATGATACATAAAAATGATGTACCCCAGAGAAAGAAGAAAAAGACGTCCATTTTTTGTATTACAGAAACTTAAATCATCGTCCCGAAAAGAAAAGGCAGAAATAAAATCAGAAAAAAATAAATTCTTTTACAGTCACTAGCTTGAAATAGCTCTAAATCAAATGAGGAGATTATCAATTCCCAGATACAAGTAAACAAAAAGAAGACAGTATTCTTGACAATCGAACAACACTATATCAAAAACATATCTGGAAATGAAAGTCGAAAGTCATCAACAGGGGAAGAAACTATGATCGAAATAAATCTTACCGGCCATTCACTGAGGGAGAAAGCGAGAGCAAATCCATCGGTCATTAGATCTCGACAACAGCAGAAGCGGAGAAATAGAGCTTCAAGCTAATGATGTATAGATTCTGTAGGAGAAAAACAGAGAGAGATAAGATCGTGGGAAAAGAGGAGCAGGCAAGAGAGCTCCTGCTTTCTGCATTTCCTATGCTCTTCTTTCTCGTTGGAGGAAAGAAAAGAAAAACATAATAAAAGTTCTAATAACATTAAATTTTAATTAGACTTTTTGAATTTTAATGAAATAAAATCGCCCATCCAATAAAACCGGGGCGGGGGGAGGAGAAATAAAATGAAAAGGCGAGAGCACTGGGGAGCTAGTCCGCAGCACCACGAGCCTTTCCTATTCGCCAATGACATCACGCCTCATCTCTCCACATAGGACTCGATCAGCATTCCAGAAAAATCCAGGGACAAAAAAGGTACTTTAGTGGCGGATTCACTTCCTCCTCCGAGTGACGTGGCTACTCTCAATCGCCAGACTACGATGAGACGCCCCTCAAGCTGCTTTTCATCGGGTGAAATTCCCTGGAAATTCAACCCAAATTCACCTCACATGCAAGATAAATTCTTACACCCCCCAAGGATCTAGTGCTCCGGATTTCCTGAGAACATCCTCAATCAGATGATCTGCCGCGAAATTACTGGCCTCCTTAATGGGCATGAAGTAAATTGGAAGAAATCTTTGACTCCGATGGCCGTCCTGATCACCACAGCCAATAATGTGATGCCACGTGAGCAGGATGAAGTGGCGCGGTAATCCAGCGCATAAAATCACCGCGATGAAAGGAAGAAGGGGAACCGGCTGGGAAGGTGGAAAGAGAGGGAGAGGGCGGGGTGAGTGGGTAGGTAAGAAAGGAGAGGAAGGGAGACCGGGAGAGGCGGTGAACTGATTAAATCGGGTTGGAAAGAGGGTTGGAGTCCGCCAATGAGAGGGGATCGGACCTCTGGTCGAAAGTAGTACGGGCGGGTCGCGGATTTCAGGGAGAAGTCCATTGTGGTTAAAAGGAGGGAGTCAAATCAGCGCAGGGCCAAAAATAATAATAATAAAGAACCATTTGGCATTGGAGAACAGAGAAGGGCTTGGATTCATTCATCAAATCAATTCCATCAAAATGAAAAAGATAAAGCTGCCACCTCCCATTCAAATTCTTTCCTCAATTTTGCATCTCATTTTTTCACTCCTCCTTCGGCCGCATTCCTTGTATCTGGCAATGGATTTATTCCTTCCCATTTATTTCTATTCACATGTTATCTTTTCTTTTTTTTTTTTATTTCTTCAATTCTAAATATAAGATTTTTTTTATAATATAAATTATATTTTGAAAAAAAATTATGTTTAAAACTAGAAGAGTATTTTTTAAGAAATACAGGTCTCTCGTTCTTTTTTTGTCGGGTGCCATTTTTACCTTCTATATCTCATTTTAAATCTTTTTATTATATACAAAAATCTTTTTATCGGGGACAATTTTATAGTCTTTTGTTTAGGTCTTAACCGTGTCTGTGCTGTACAATTTATGCGGTTTTCCGTGTAATTAAGCATGTGTGTATTATACCTGTATGGGGAAAAAAGCATGCGTGCCCTTGTTAAGGGCCAAATCAAGGCGTCTGTCTTATTTGTCCCTATATTAAATACTACTACCTCCGGTCCTAATTATAAGACTCAGTTGACTTATTTGAGGAGATTAAGGAAGTAAGTTAAGTTAGTTATTTATAATAAATAAGTGTTGTTATTCCTAAAATATCCTTGCTAATTAAGTACTCCTCCGGTCCTTATTATAAGACCCAATTTGACTTTTTATTTGGTCCTAATTATAAGACCCAATCTATTTTTTCTCTTATATTTATACATTTTTTTCAAAGATAATTCTTCTAATAATGATAGTTTTAGTCAATATACTTAATTAGCAAGGATATTTTAGGAATAACAATACTTATTTATTATAAATAACCAACTTAACTTACTTCCTTAATCTCCTCAAATAAGTCAATTGGGTCTTATAATTAGGACCGGAGGAGTATATTGGCTAGAACTATCATTATTAGAAGGATTATCTTGGAAAAAATGTATAAATATGAGAGACAAAATGGATTGGGGTCTTATAATTAGGACTAAACAAAAAGTCAAACGGGGTCTTATAATAAGAACCGGAGGTAGTATTAATTACAAACGGATTACAGTTCCATGATCCACTGATGGAGAAATAGTCGGATTTATTAATTACTGAAGAACCTTATCTGACTGAGCTGAATTTTATTTAGTCCTTTGACTCAATAATAATAATAATAATAATAATAAGGAGCTTTAAATTATAAATTGATGTCATTAAACTATTAATTTGGCCATCATCACATTCTGTCGAGCCATAATTATCCATGATCAACGTTATTCTGAAAGCCAAATCGATTTTTTTTCCCCCAGCTGCAAGCAGGACAAACAAAAGGGCAGGAAACTCGTGGTGAAAACGCAAACTCTACAGTAGCCAGGGTTTAGAAGTATCTGGATGGAAAACAAATTATAATTTTAAAAATATTTTTATGATATATAAAATAAATATGTAAAAAATATTTTATCCCAATTCAGATGAAAACTTTTTTAAATATACCAGACCCTCCTCCGGAGACACCTGCAAATCCCGAATGGACCAAACTGGAGACCCAAGCACGTGTTGGTCAATAGTAGCAAAACCGCGAATCAATTTTCTGATTGGTTTTTTTATTTTTTCTCTCACTGAGTTAGAAATGAGATAATTTTAAGTTGAAAAAACAGCAATCCGTCATACAGTAGCATTGTTTTATTGAATTATATACAGCTGATATAGCAATATTTTATTTACTTGTGTATGATTGTCTTTTTATTTAAATATTGTTCTTTTCAGAATTATGCGTCAATACTTTTATATATTGACCTTAAATAAGTGCATTTATCCACCGATTTTCATGTAAATACCATGGTTGGCACCCCGCAAAATTGCATAGTGACTGTGGGATTAACATGTTTCATTGACTTGATAGCGATACTGTTTGGATCGGGTCACAGACATGACAACACTGAGCTCCATTTTTTTACGAAGCTACGATTTTCTTTTCAATGACTTTTTCATAATTTATATTTTAGAAATATTTAATGTCCTTTTTTATTTTTACTCGTCACTTACACGTCAATCTCATTTTCTTCTTGCTCATTCTGTTGTTTCGTATCTTTTCTTGTTGGGAGTTTTTGGTAACCCTTAACAGTTTTTTAAAAATATACTTTTATTTAGATTGAGATAAAACTTTTTTTACACCTTTTTTTAATAAATTACTTTTAAAAAATTAATGCAAATAAATTTTTTCACCCACTGTTTGTAAATTTATTATTTCCAGCTAATTTTAACATAGTTCTGTCGATATGATTCTATTAATTAATCGTCTCTCGTTAAAAAGACGAGGGATGTGACTTGCCCCTCGGTGAATTTCCGCAGGATCTGCTTTTGACTTTGGTAAGCTCTCGAGTCCGATTTCTTGTTTTGAAATTATTAGGGGAGAAATGAAGCGTCACTGTGTGAGGGCGAATTCAGCATCCAATTTTTTTTTCGACATTTAGTGTCCTAATTTTTTATATGACACTACTTTTAATTTTTAATATAAGAACTAATTTATTAATTTAAATAAATTAAAAAATTAGTTAATTTAATTATTTATAATAAATAAGTATTTTTTTAAAAATATCTTTACTAATCAAATATACTGGTTAGAATTACCAGTAAAGACTACCTTAAAAATATATAAATACGAGAAATAAAGTAAATTTAAGTCTTATATTTATATTTAGAATTAAAATAAAAATAAAAAATTTTATATTAAAAACCAGAAGTGATATATGAAATATTAAATACACAAAGAAATAAAATTATGATATTAGATACCCGGAAATGAAAAAAATAGATGCATCATATGAAAAATTGGAGTGCCGAATATAGTTAGAAAAGAAGACAAAGGTGTTACCCTTCAAAGAGATGGGGTATACAACGGAAGGTGGGCCCATCCAGCCGCCTGAGTTGACTAAAGAAAGCGCAAAATGTGACCATGCAGCAGAGAGGCGAGAGCACTGATGAGCGGGTATTAACAGAACCGTAAATAAACAGGATTGCGGATAAGGCTAAATTCTATCCGCACGATCTTCCCATGCCTGGACCCCACATTTCCACGTGTCTCCATCCCTCTTCCCCTCTATTTCTTTTCCCTGACTTGTGTCCCTCTGCATCATTTCTCTAGATTTTGCCCCCGCCTATCTATTTTCCTGCACCTACTGTTCTACATTGCGGCTAATGTACTACTATACACCACTAGAGAAAATCTGCAAGTAGTCAAATTACGTGACTTCATTAGTAAATAATACTTTTTCAGAAGGTGTGATTTGACTATTTATATATTTAATTACTATGTCAAACAATCAACTGATTCATTCTTTCTTTTTTTTTAACCAGCAATCAACTGATTCATTCCAACGCATGTAGCGTGCTATGAATTTAATATTAAATTTTAATAGAAAAATGACCCCAAAAAACCTGAAAATTATGAGATTCCAATTTAGTACTTAACATTTCAAAATCTCAGGAGATAAAATGGTGTCTGATCTCATATTTTACAAATATAATTAAATAATTATAATACTTAATATTATTTTTTAACCAGCAATCAACTGATTCAATAGCTGTTGCTAATTCAGAACTTGTTAAAAAATTTATTAACAAGCTCTGAAGTAGCAACAACTATTGAATAACAAATGATAAACAAGTTAATTGCTATTTGACTCATCGTCCATGGATTCAGCTGGCGAAAGGGTGAGACATATGACCAAGTTGGCATGTGTTCGATTCCTGGGGAGTACCACTTTGTTATGGTTCTAGTCGCGGCGCTTGAGAAGGCATCATAACTCCTGGGGGCCTAGGTAAACGCCTGAGGGTAATTGATGGCTCGCCCTGCCCAACATTGGTATGACCTGGGAGGAAGGGAGATTTCGCCCTGTCCTTAGATCGTGGGTGAGCCCAACCCCTTTTCAAAAATTTGTTTATAAAAAAAAAAAAGTTAATTGTTATTTGAAACAATCAACTGATTCATTCTAACGCATTTAAAATTAATTAATTAAAATATTATATATGCATGAATCCGGGTTTCTAATACATAGTTTATGTAAAAGGTACAACGTGCTGTGAATTTAATATTTAATTTCGATAGGAAAAATAACAAAAAAGC